GCATCCTTCAACAGACAATTTACTTAATGTGTGAACAGTATCCTTTATATGGGATTTTTTTCCTTATATAAAGATTTAAATCTACGATTTTTTTTCCTTATGATGGGATTTTTCTTATATATATATATATATATATCAACATGTTCTAGCTTGAAACCTTCCCAGTTGTTTTTTTAACTCCAACATGGAATCATGGATCTCTTAAGCATGAGAAAAAAATTAAAAACAAAAAACAAGGCTCTGCTTTTTTAAATGTATCATTGAATCCAAATTAGTAAAAGTCCAAAATCTGATGCCACGTCATATTTTTAAAAAGGGAAATCCCCCATAAGCTGATTTGGGATCCAAAAAAGACAGCTATCATCATATACCTGAAAATATGAGCTGTTCTGTGTATGCACGCAAAAATAAAATAAAAATGAGCTGTTCTTTTTGTTTATTTCCTTCCTAGAAAGAAACTTAAAAAGGCAGACAATTTTTTCTACAAATTCCAGAATATAAAGTCGCAAAAACCGAGATCAATACTTTTCTTATTCCGGTTCTTACCCTCGGACAACTAAAGAATTACACAATTACCGCTTTGCCCTTCGACCCAGCTGACAGTCAAATACGGTAAGAAATTATTTACCTTATATTCTCTTTTACTTCTTCTTCAAGTCGTCGCCAGGAAGCTTCGTCAAGAATTGCTTACCTCATCCTATCAACCACGCTGAGAAAAAAAAGTAGATGAAAAATCTGAGTTATGAACAGAGTGAGGGACAAACTGAACCAAACAGCTAAATATATCAATTCAATTTATGAAGAATTCTAATCTGACAGAAAATGAAAAACCAATTCAATTACGAACAGAGTTCATTTTGATCAGATTTCAGATTATCTTCAACAAGCTTAATCAAAAGATTAAAATCAAGCGACTGAGTAATCAGAGGATGAAGGAAAAGAAAAATCAAGCATGCAGAATTCAGCTCTTGCGTCGAAGAAGATGGTTGATCTGATCAAGAACTTAAAGAAAAATTCTACTGTAAAAACAGTGGACTTGAATTCTGAGAAGAAAAGCAGTTGCAAGAGTCAAAGATCATCACCTGAAAGTCAGAGACAATTCTCGAATCGTACGATCAAGCAGAGAGAGAAGAGTTCCAGTTCTCCGATGAGCGAGGGAGCGAGAGGGAGAGAGAGAGAGATGGAAATGAAATTCGAAAAAAAATGGAAAAATGGAAAAAAAGAAAAAGAAAGCTGAAAAGAGATTTTGTTTGGATTAGAAAATTCAAAGCGAATGGTACGCCATTTGTAGCTTCAAATTTCAGAAGGTGGAATCTTTGGGAGCTTCTACTTCTGTATTTGCCCTCTGGGTTGGAGGAAAATTACGGTGATGCCATTCTAGCTGGCATTTAACGCCATTGAATTTCTCGTCCGCGTTGCGGTCAAAGTCTCGGGAGTTGAGATAATGATTGTGTCGTGAGAATAGTGTTAAATTATTGGGTACTTGATGACGCGTGAGCTCTTGCCACGTCAGTCAGTTTCCCGCGCTCGTTTGGTGGTTGTTGTTTCTGTTGTCCCTCTCTCTCCCCATTTCGGCCTGGAGAGTATGTATGACGCAATAATTGCAAGAAATGGAGGGATGGAATGGGCTTACTGTGGTTTTGGACAATGATCCAACTTTCAGTTAGGGATACCAACAACGTATGACGGGTTCGGGTTTGCTCTTCCCATTCTTATCCTTAGCGGGCACACGTAAATTACATTATACTCGTAATTAGTTTTGAGTAGAACTTCCACTTCCTTCATTCTTAACCCCCCAAAAAAAAAAAACTACATTATACGCGCTCAAGAGTTCGAACCTCCTCCTCATTTGGTCTAATTGGTATCTAGAAGAAAATTATACATTAACTACACAATTTGTTGTATAACAACATAAAAATGTGAAATAACACAATTCATTTCAAAAGAAAAACTAAAGAACTTGTAGCTCAAGTTAAATGAATTAACAGATTTGGGGGAAGTTTTGGGTTGACGGAGGAAATTATCATCCCTATAAATAATTCACTTCTAGAAAATTCGAGACAATTACGACCCATATCTGCAATGGAGTCCAAGAGAGGATTGAAGACATTAAAAAATCTGCAAAAAATTTAGTTAAAGTTTATAAAAAGAATGAGGTCCAATTATTTTTTGCTTCAAAACGGTGATTTTGTTCTTCCAATCGTATTAAAGTAGGCTGTCTTGATGTTGTTTTAAGGTTCAAACGGAGATGGCATGACCCATGTACATTAAATAATGTCATTGCAAAATTGACAACATGGGACAAAACAAATTTGGGGAATAAATTGATATGATGGACAGAGATGTGGAGAAATAGTCTTTGAAGAATTTACATAGGAAACTGACTCACTATTTGGTGCTTGTCCGTTTGCTCAAGGTAATTCAATCCTGAACCCTTCCAATAACAGAAAAAGGAAAAGAGAAGTGAAACTTTGAGTGATCACATTATTGAAGTCATTTCAGACGAAAACTCGGAAAATTATATACACTTTTGTTGATGATCATTTGGTCTAATGGAGTCCAGTCTTTATTTTGTTGGAGGATGTGATGAGTTCAAATCTCATGAACGACAGTTGTTAAATTCAAAAATGAGAAATTATGTATACATATGTCCCATGAATTCAATGTAGATCATGAATAAGGAAAGCTTGTGCCACTCTTTTGGTGAGCTATTAACCAATGCTAAGCAACACATCCACTTTCCTTGTGGGAAGGAATGAATAAATTGAATAAGGTTTATATATAATGCTAAACAAACATATCATAACAATGGCCCTTGCCTTAGAGCCTAAGTAACTGCCCTGCTCCTAGCAGCAGCTGACCTCTTTGAGACTACTTCCTTAAGATCATCGTAGCGGCTCCGGTGATGATCAATCAAGACACAGAGCTGCCTTATGGCTTCCCTCTTCTCCTCTCCAAGGATCAATAAGTCTTCATCCTTGTCCTTCAATTTCCTCTCCAGATTTCCCACCTGCTCCTCAAGTTGGCTCAAGCCTTTCGTCATGTTCAACTTCTCTTCAGCTTCCTTGCTTGCCAATGCTTCTAACTCACAAACTTTGTCTCTTAACACACCCTCTTGTTCTTCCTTTTCATTCAGTTGTGTGACCAAGCATTCTACATTGTGCTTTAATCGTTTCATCTCACCTGCTGTCCCTGTAACCCACGTTTTCGCAGACTCAAGATCATTCGACATTTTGGAAATCTGGTTCAGAAAGTTCTTATGGCCCTCCTCAAACTTCAGTACCACCAAGTCCAGTCCATTTTGGAATGTGATTTTTGCTGTTTCTGATATTTCCTTCATCTTTCTGGCCGGATCTTCGTAAGTTGCAAGCTTTTCTTTAAGACCTCTAATTTCTGTCTCATACCAATCTTTCATCTTCTTGTAGCCTTCTTTGTTCTCATTGTGTATTTGTTCTGCTACTCGGATTCTCTGGTACAAGAGGCGGACGTTATCTTCAATATTAATCCGGTACTTCTCTGCCAATTCTTCCATCTTCCTTTCTGCTACTTGTAGATTCAATTTGGACGACGGAAACCAAATTTTAGCTTGTTTATGATCCTTATTGAACTTCCTGATAGTATCTTCCTGTTCCTTAAGAATTCGCTGCTGTTCGGAAATCTTAACTGTCAAGTTATTGTTTTGATTTTCCATCTCAGTTAGTCTGTCCAAATATTTTCTGTTCTCTCTCTCAATCCGGGCTATCTTTCCTGTCAATTTACTGTTTTGGTTTTCCATCTCACCCAGCCTTTCAAAATATTGTCTGCTCTCTTTCTCAATCTGCAAGTGGCTTTTCTTAGTCTGCAAGGAATCCAATTCCTGTTTCAAATTGCTGACCTGTGTTGTTAAATCCGTAAGTTGAGTAGAAGATTCATTCTTTCCATCCTCGCATTCTCTACGAAGAGCATAAAACTCATCCCCTCTCTCATTCAGTGTTCTCTCCAACTCAAAAATTTTAGAAAGCAGACCCTCATTTTCCTGTCTCAACTTATTGGTCTCCTGGTTTCTATTTTTTATCTGCTTTTCCAAATTTTTCTTTTGGCTGCGTCGAGAGTCCATTTGCATTTCCAACTCCTTCATCCTCTCAAGAAGACATTGTCTTTCATCCATCATTTTCATTTCAACTGTGTCCTTTCTATTTAGTTCCTCTTTCAGATTTTCTATCTGAAGCAGGTGTTTGGAAATTTCTTTGTTCTTCTTGTCCAGTTGTGCTTCTGATTCGGTTTTCTGCTGGCGTTGGGACTTTAATTCCCTCTGCACACCATTGATCTGATCCCTTAAGCCCTTCACTTGAGCCAGGGATTCATTTTTTTTACTCACCATCTTTTGTTCCAGTTCACCTTTTTGCGCACGCAACGAATCAACTTCAACTTGCAGATTGCTGGCCTGTGCCATCAAGTCTGAAACTTTTGATGCTGAACTGTCCTCATTTTCCTTGAGTTTCTTCTGGAGATCAGATATTTCATCTTCTTTTCCTTTTAAACCTATCTCAAGTTCCAAAACCCGAGCATGCAGTCCAATATTTTTCTCTCCTAGCTGTTTAGCTTCAGCAGCCTTGCCTTCTTTCCATGCTTCCAAATCTCTTTTCTGACAGCACAAGGATTCCAACTCAATTTTAAAGCCAGTTAACTGGCCCTCTAACTCTTTCACCCGAGCTGATGATTCGTTCCCATGAGCCTCGTGCGCTTCAACAAGAGCTGAAAGTTCCCTTACTCTTTCATCCATTTCATTCTTGAGATCTTTGTCTATATTATCTGCTTGTCTTATTTTTCTCAATGCTTCCATATATTCTGAATTTATAGCTTCCTTTTCTTCATTTCTAGAGACCAGTTTTTGCTTAAGATCAGCTACTCCCGAATTCTCAGTGTTAGCTTCGTGCTTAATGCTGTCTGCCAACTTCTGATGCTCATTTTCCAATTTGGCATTGTTACCTTCAACGTCCTCTGAGGAATAATATTCAGAATCTGAGCTGGAGGGAGACAAGGCAAAACCTTTTCTCTCTTTTTTGCCACGAACAATTCTCCCTGACTCTCCCACTAGATGATCATACAAAGCATATAGTGACTGGTACTGTTGGTAGAAGTTCTCAATGAGTCCAACAAGTTCCGACTCATTCTTTGAATCTTTTCGACTGTCTTCTTTCTTTCCTTGCTCTTCATTTTTTATAAGCTTGAAGATCCTTGTCACATTGTTTTCAATTTCTGCAGATAACATAAAATCTTCTAAATAAAAAAGCTAACATCAACAGAAGTGCCAACAGAAAAGAATAATATATACCAACTCTCAAAATCAGGGAGGGAATTCAAATTTAAGCACATGAATCAGACTGATCTTTTTCCACTACGACACGAATCATTGTGCGAAAATGGTAACGACATATAAGGGCAACAACCAGACTCCTATTAATTTATAATCCTACAATGGTTGTTGATAATGAAAAGCCATCATAGCCAGCACTGCAGTACTGGAATTTTCAGAAAAACTGGTGCCATTTATTTTGAATTCGAGATACTGAATCTGCCTGCAAGACCACATCGACTCAAACAAACGATGAGTCAATGACCAAGTTCAGAAATACTAATGAGTCATTGATCTTTTCGACGCGGTTGCAGAAGCTTTCTTGGTTTGGTTCTTTATGATAGCACAGCAGAAACAGGAACTTGATACTGTGAAGAATTAAGAACAGAGTAAAAGAAAGGTTGGAATTGTATATTTCATTGATACTTGTACAGTGAGAGTACCACTGTTTATATACACTTGAAAAGAATAATCTGGAATAGAATTGGTTACAAAGAATATGGAGATGATGACAGGTGTAGGATGGATATATGACTAGTAAGTTCCTTCTCTTCTAGAATATTGCTGAGCTGGAGATTGTATGCATTGGATTTGCTGTGTATTTGCACCTATGATTGTGTACTCTGTTTATCACGTAGTGGTGGTATAGGGCGAGCTGGTCTTGCTCGATTTCATTAGCCGTTTGTACACATCACAACGTAGCAAAGAGGAGACTGAACCAGAAATAGGTAACTTGTCCAAAACTTGCCTACTTATTCAAAGTGGAACTTAGAATTTTCAAAAATACAACGAATAAGTATAAAATTCCAAATTTATGAACATTGTACCATTTTCAATCAATACA